TGGGGGCTGCTGCATCCGGGGGAAGCCGAGGCACCCCCCCCCCTTTCCCCCCCCCCATCTCTCAGGGTGCCCCCTGCATCTTTAAACCATGTTCACTCTGACCCTTACTGATGCCGATGCACTTGCAAACACGTGGAGACCACGTTCACTCTGACCCCTACTGATGACCGTGCCCTTGCTACCCCACAGAGCCCGGAAACATGGTCACTCACGTAGATCATGACCGTGGCGATCCTGTTGCCCGACTTCATTCTGTAAAGGGGGCTCTTCCTGGACTGCCCCGGAGAGAGGAGCCGGTCAGGCCCGGCGCGTCACGCCACGGCCGGACCCAGCCAATGGGAGGCCGAGCTGGCCGTGGGCAAATCCCCCAGGAAGCCCCAGGGCACGACAGCAACTTGAGCCTCAACACCTTTTTTTGTGCAAACCAAAGCTTTGTAGCCAAAATGGGCCCAACTGAGACATTTTCCACTCTTTTTTTTTTTTTCCTCGTATGAAGAAAAATCTGAGAAATTTTAACCCAATTGGACTTTTTCATCTTGGTTGAAAAAACCCTTTTTCTTCACAAAAAAAGGTTTTGAGGGATAAGATAGGGTGAACTATGACTGTCGTGAGGGCCCTCTTCCTCCCCTCTTCCTCTTCCTCCCCTCTTCCTCTTCCTCCCCTCTTCCTCTTCCTCCCCTCTTCCTCTTCCTCCCCTCTTCCTCTTCCTCCCCTCTTCCTCTTCCTCCCCTCTTCCTCTTCCTCCCCTCTTCCTCTTCCTCCCCTCTTCCTCTTCCTTTTCTCCTTCCTTCCCTCCTCCTTCTGCTCTCCCTCTTTCTTCTCTCCTCCTCTCTCTTTCCTCCTTCCTCCTCCTTCTCCCTCTTTCCTCCTTCCTTCCCTCCTCCTTCTGCTCTCCCTCTTTCTTCTCTCCTCCTCTCTCTTTCCTCCTTCCTCCTCCTTCTCCCTCTTTCCTCCTTCCTTCCCTCCTCCTTCTGCTCTCCCTCTTTCTTCTCTCCTCCTCTCTCTTTCCTCCTTCCTCCTCCTTCTCCCTCTTTCCTCCTTCCTTCCCTCCTCCTTCTGCTCTCCCTCTTTCTTCTCTCCTCCTCTCTCTTTCCTCCTTCCTCCTCCTTCTCCCTCTTTCCTCCTGCCTTCCCTCCTCCTTCTGCTCTCCCTCTTTCTTCTCTCCTCCTCTCTCTTTCCTCCTTCCTCCTCCTTCTCCCTCTTTCCTCCTTCCTTCCCTCCTCCTTCTGCTCTCCCTCTTTCTTCTCTCCTCCTCTCTCTTTCCTCCTTCCTCCTCCTTCTCCCTCTTTCCTCCTTCCTTCCCTCCTCCTTCTGCTCTCCCTCTTTCTTCTCTCCTCCTCTCTCTTTCCTCCTTCCTCCTCCTTCTCCCTCTTTCCTCCTTCCTTCCCTCCTCCTTCTGCTCTCCCTCTTTCTTCTCTCCTCCTCTCTCTTTCCTCCTTCCTCCTCCTTCTCCCTCTTTCCTCCTTCCTTCCCTCCTCCTTCTGCTCTCCCTCTTTCTTCTCTCCTCCTCTCTCTTTCCTCCTTCCTCCTCCTTCTCCCTCTTTCCTCCTTCCTTCCCTCCTCCTTCTGCTCTCCCTCTTTCTTCTCTCCTCCTCTCTCTTTCCTCCTTCCTCCTCCTTCTCCCTCTTTCCTCCTTCCTTCCCTCCTCCTTCTGCTCTCCCTCTTTCTTCTCTCCTCCTCTCTCTTTCCTCCTTCCTCCTCCTTCTCCCTCTTTCCTCCTTCCTTCCCTCCTCCTTCTGCTCTCCCTCTTTCTTCTCTCCTCCTCTCTCTTTCCTCCTTCCTCCTCCTTCTCCCTCTTTCCTCCTTCCTTCCCTCCTCCTTCTGCTCTCCCTCTTTCTTCTCTCCTCCTCTCTCTTTCCTCCTTCCTCCTCCTTCTCCCTCTTTCCTCCTTCCTTCCCTCCTCCTTCTGCTCTCCCTCTTTCTTCTCTCCTCCTCTCTCTTTCCTCCTTCCTCCTCCTTCTCCCTCTTTCCTCCTTCCTTCCCTCCTCCTTCTGCTCTCCCTCTTTCTTCTCTCCTCCTCTCTCTTTCCTCCTTCCTCCTCCTTCTCCCTCTTTCCTCCTTCCTTCCCTCCTCCTTCTGCTCTCCCTCTTTCTTCTCTCCTCCTCTCTCTTTCCTCCTTCCTCCTCCTTCTCCCTCTTTCCTCCTTCCTTCCCTCCTCCTTCTGCTCTCCCTCTTTCTTCTCTCCTCCTCTCTCTTTCCTCCTTCCTCCTCCTTCTCCCTCTTTCCTCCTTCCTTCCCTCCTCCTTCTGCTCTCCCTCTTTCTTCTCTCCTCCTCTCTCTTTCCTCCTTCCTCCTCCTTCTCCCTCTTTCCTCCTTCCTTCCCTCCTCCTTCTGCTCTCCCTCTTTCTTCTCTCCTCCTCTCTCTTTCCTCCTTCCTCCTCCTTCTCCGGGGCAGCCCCGGTTTGGAGGAGGATTCGCCCTCGTGGATGACGTACCGTAGCGCAGAAACTCCCTGGAGAGTGTCAAGGCATGCGAGATGTTTCCCGCCTGCAAGGGGGAGACATGGAGAGCTTGGGCACGTCCTCCCACCGGGGCGATGTTCGCCTTGGAGCTGAGACCGTGGTTTCACCCCACTGAGCTCCACGGTAATGGGGACGACCCGGAAAAATGAAGCTGAGCTCCAGCCGGAGCGGGACATGCAGGAATTGCCCAGCCGTGGAGGTGTCATGGACTTACCATGAAGTAGGAGAAGGCTAGGTGGTCCAGGGCGTCCTCCAGGCTGGCCAGGTCCTCCGTGTTCCAGTTCCCGTAGGAGAGGCGGAAGAGGTTGACGGCCTCCTCCAGCCACGTGATGGAGTGGTAGTAGTCACCTGTGTCGTAGGCCACCTGCGAGGCACCGCGCCGCTCAGATCCGCCGGCAGGACGAACCCAGCCCCTGTCCTGTCCTGTCCCATCCCACCTGACCCTGTCCTGTCCCGTCCCATCCCACCTGACCCTCTCCTGTCCTGTCCCCTCCT